ATTAATACATAATATTATTCTATCTTAATTCTTAATAAATTAAATATAAAATAAGATAATATTATTTAATTTGATTCCATTTAAACATTCATTTATTTTATCTTATTTATAGTCTTGCATACCAAACATGCTATTAATTTTGAAAATGTCACATCACACTAATAATATCTTTTTAAGTTTTTTTTTAACTACTTGTGATTCGTGCGATGCATAAATTAATTTTATATATTTAAATATTTATAGATACATAATAAATTAATTATTTAAATTACATTTTTAAAGCATATATAAAATATATAACAGTTAAGTTATAATATGATCGTCATCTTGATTTATAAAAATTAAAATTTATTATAATTTTGAATTAAAAAATTAAAAGAATTTAATAATATATAATATAATAATAATTAATATTCTTTTTTTATATTTTTACTGACTGATTTTCATTTAATATAAAAATAACATAAACATGTTTAAATAAAAATTAAATTTTCATTTGTCTAAAAAATAAAAACAGTATGAATTCATTACTTGTTAATTTAGTATCACTTTAATCCTAATATCCACAGGTGCCTACTTCTCCCACAGCCTTAGTACAATATCACATCAGCAGTATTTATTAGCATATCTTACGCATTGCTTCAATTAAACCTTAAACAACTTCAATTAATACAGTCGCATCAACAACTTCTTTTTCCAAAAATTTACAACGAATTTTTTTGTAAGAACCCAAATCGGACACCAACATAATACCAAGAAAGGGCCCTAGTTGAAACCACAATAATCATCTCATCAATAAGTTTAACCACCCAATACTTTCATCCACTACTTCAGCTGCCTGGTTTCTCAATTTTCCGCTCTCAAAGAACTGCAAAAATTTATCGTTGAATTAAGTATGATAAGTGTAGAATATTGGGAACAAACACTTAAGTCAGAATCTTGGCTAAAGTAGCACTAAAGCTATCAACTATGATCTAAACTCAGTCCAAGATCAACCCACTTGATTTAACTCAAACCCAATTCAAGTTTCAATCATAATGACATTAAAAAAAGAACATCTTTTCATCAAAAAGAATTTCTTTAACAAAACTATTTATTCAATTCATCAACATATACAAACATAGTAAACTGCAAACTATCAAAAAATCAAGTGCTAAACTGAAAAGAATCACCTGATTAAAGACTTTAAACCACATCAAAACCAGAGTTAAAACAATCAACAAATTAGATGAAAAAAAAAAAATTTTACCTGGGATAGATGACCTTTGGAAACAAAATGTTGAAGGGAAGAAAAGATAGCTTTGGAGGCTTTAGAAAGTGCAACAGGGTCAGTATCAAGGAGCCAAACATGGGGGACAATGCATGGCACCAAGCTGAGCTATGCAGAACCCATTTGTCCACTGCCCAACCGCTAAGCTCTTTGTCTCAGCCATTTTTTTCTTCCCTGCAAACAAAGCCTAGAATGTCATTTCCAAGACTAAAAAAAAAAAAGTAGATGGTAGTGTACTTCAAGTGCCTCTAAGGCGCGTGAGAGAAGTAGGTTGGTGTGGAGACAAATTAAAAACAAGAGAATTTAGCTTGAGAAATTGAAAACATTTTAAAAATTACTCAGGAGCATGACAGAAAGTGAAATTTATTTAAAATGAAAATTTTATTTTTAAATGAAAGGTTCATTCGATTGATTTGTTGAATGTGATGAGGGATAAGGTGATATTGGGATAAAGAAATTTTATTTGAATTTAAATTGATTTTTATTTAAAATTTAAAATTTTTTATATAATTTAATAATTTTTAATAAACTTTTAATAAATAATTTAAAATTAATAAATATCTTATATATGATAAAAAATTTTATTTTTTTATATGTAAAAATAAAAAAATATTCTTGCAAACGTTCACGTTAATAAATTTTATTTGATTACTGTAATATATATATATATATATATATAATATGTAGATGATTAAAAACCATCCACACAAGTTAAGTCCACTGCTAAAGATAAAGTCTCATTTTCTTGTTACTATTTTGTTTGCATATGAAAGAATGCGTCAAAAGAAAAATTTTAAACGTATCAAATCAGTATTCTTAAAAAATTTAAAACTCAGGCTAACCAAAATATCTAACTGTATCTTCAAAAAAAAAAAAAGATCACGAAAGATCAAAGGAATAACATTAACAGAGGTCACGTAGCCCTATGTAAGCATGCTTAGTTTGGCTTTTTTCCTTTGATCATCCCTTCTTTCCTACGAAAAAAAAAAGGAATTTTGCTTCTTTTCATTATCGTAACGATTTTAAGATCGTCAGACATAAAAAATTTTAAAATCAAAGTAAATGGAAGAATCATCACTAATTTTTTTTAGAGTGTGATTGACCACCAAAAGTTTATCTTTTTAATAAAACTATAGAAATGAGTATAAAGTTTATCAAAAAGATAAATTTCGGTTTACAAAAAATCAGGTTGGGTCCGAGAGTTGATTACATATAGAAAAAGATTAGCACCTCCACAACGCCCATTAAATTGGTACCACTTAATTACGTACTATTTTGGTGTTGGATAAAATGGTTTCAATTTAAAATTTAACACTAATCCCTTTCATTTGGAAAAATAAAATTTTGCTAAAATTTTTATTTGAAAATATTGATAAAATCTTTAGTTAAAGAAATATCTTAAAATTCTCCAACATCTAGGTAGAATTTAAAATAACTCTTT